TAGGTAAACACCCATAGGGGGAATTGCTGGGTCATACGATAGATCAGTTTTGTGAGTAGAATGGTGGTTACTAGGGCCTGAGGGCTGGGGGCAAGAGGAAGATGTTGCGTAAGCGTACACACTTGCAACTAGGAGATACCCAAGTCCTGGAGACCTAGCCCACAGCACAGCGAATACAGTGAATATGGCAAACCACTGTTGCACGTGAAGGAAGGGACAAGAAGTTCTGCGTTCGGAGGGTCAAGCCCAACGTCTGGCATTTATGAAGGTCGTGGGCAGGAAGCCAGGAAGAAGCACAGAACACCAGCGGGGCGGGGGACAGGCCTGCGACGGTGGTGGGGGGACTGGCGGGGGAGAGGCTGGCCTCCTTCGCTGGAGAAGAGCAGACTCGAGGAAGCCTCCCTCCTAGTCCTGGGAGGCACGGCTTTGTGACCACACGGACACTGTCATCTCGGCCGCCACACTGCAGATGAGTGACATGCAGAATATTCGGGGAGGGGGCAGGGAATGACCCAGGAAGGTACAGACACAGTTCTGGGATTCTGGGGAGGTTCCCTTCACCTCCTAGAGTGTCTCTGCAGAACTTTGTTGCTGGGGCTGCCGAGCTGGGAGCTGGAGGGTTTTTATCTCCAGGAGTGCTGGGAGGGTCAGGTACTGGATGGATGGACGGAGACAGACTGGGTGACTGCTGTGTGCCTGGCTTATCTGGCAGGGCCGCCTCCTCCCCGTAGCTGTGCTCAGCCTGGAATTCCTGGGGGCTGAGTTCGGTCCGAGTCGCATGGCTCCCGGGGCTTGGTGACATCACCCCTTGGTGTGATTCTGCATCTGGGGGACTCCGGAGAGGCAAGCCGGGTAAAGAAAAGACTCTCTGTGGCTCGGTCATGGCCTCTGCAGGGAGCTGGAAAACAAGCAAGGAGAAAGGCCACCACAGCCACTGGGACAGGGGAGGCCTGGTCTCCCCAAAGCAGACTGCATGGCATCATGGGAACCGCACAATCCGCCTTCCCTGGATCGTCACCCCGTACCTGGGATCCTGTCAACCCAATCCTTTCCCACTTTCCGCTGTCACCCCCCAGGGCCAGGGCAGTGCGGATCACACGGAGATTCCTCAGCAGTGGGGTCAACCAGACCCCTGGGTTCCAGAGCCCAGAGAGAAGCCCCATGAGCTGTGCTTCCCAGGGTCGGCTCCTCCTCGCTCAGCCCACAGGGCAGGCCCCAGAAAAGGAGACAGTGGGGGGGGGGGCAGCTGGGGAGCCACTCATGCCTCGAATTCAGACATTTCCTACGAGGGGTCAGTGGGGGGATCCTCCCTCTGCACGGATTCTGACTTCATCCCCACAGGACCTGGGAGTTTCGCACCTAGAACTTTCTTCCAGTTCCAAGTACTGAGAATCTATTGGGATCACACATTTTCAGGAGAAACTAACTCAGGTTGTTGGGGAAAATCCCACCTCCCATCACTCTTAAGGAAAGTGATTCTCCATGGGCTAGATTTTCCCAGGGCACTGGGGGGTGGGAGGGGGTAGAGCAGGGTTCCAGACACAGAGCAGATGATTCTAGTCACTGTCCGTGTCTCCTGTCTCTGCGGAGCCCCCAGGCTCCCGGGCCACCCACCGCAGAAGCAGGGGCGTGCACCCAGCCCACAGGGGCCTGAAGACAGTGGTGCTGGCGAGAGGAGCCCCACGGCCTGCACGGATGGAGGGGGCGCTTCCAGGGGTCGGGCTGCACATGACGGGGAAGCCAGGACTCGCGCCACGGTGGAGGGCTGCGTGGGGTTTCGCACACCCGCACCCGTCTCTGTGCTTGGCCTGCAGCGATGCTACATAAACATCAAGGGACATGCAGCCTGCACTGTTTTGAAGCTCACGGTGGCAGCACGGAAATGAAGGTTCTGGTCAGGGACTGACACAGACACACAGGGCAGGGCACCCGCCCCTTAAGGGCACGTGGCAGGCCAGGCTGGGGGACAGACCTCGAGCAGGACACACGCAGGGGAAAAAGGCTGACCAAGTGCTGGGGGCGTAGGTGCCCAGATGGAAGGCTGCCCCTCTCCTGTCCTACCTCTTCCCTCGCTGATGGGAGCCAGGCTCCCCCTCTTCTGCCTGTCTCTGTCCCTGTGATACATCGCTTTGCTGTTTCCCGATGGAACATGAAGTCCTCGAGGGTAGAACCACGTCTGCCCATTTTTGCCCCCTTCCCACAACCAGACACAGATGTCCAGTGAAGGGTTTCTGAGAACAGTACTGAAGGATTATTGGAAATCTGTTAGAAGGACGGAGGTTTGGGAGGGGCCCCCTTGCCTTGGTGGATCCACAACACCCTCATGTGTTGGGACGAGCTGCCTGAGTCCTGCAGAGTCCCGGCTTGGTCTCCTCTGGCCGTGACACCGGGAAGCACTGCGTCCATTTCCAGTCTCACCTTCCTGTCTGTGATTCGGGATTAGGATTCTGTCCCCCGCTGGTGGGGCCATGCGCTAGTGAAGGCGGGGTAGGCTTGCTGAGCCACATCAGCAGCTGGGGTTGTCTGAAGGCCCGGCAGGTTTGGAGGGTGAGTGGGACGTTTCATGGTGCCCCATGTGGGCTGTTTTAATCCAGGCCAAGGGGAGTGGTGTGATGGATGATGCCACACGGTGACATGCTGAGCTATGGTTCCCACCTGCTTGGTCAAACACTAGACTCGATGTTGCTATGAAGATATATTTTATATATGATTGGCATTTACTGGTTAAATTAATAGACTTTGAATAAAGCTGATGATCCTCCATAATGTGGGTGGGCCTCACCCAATCAGTTGAAGGCCCTAAGAGCCAAGACTGAGGTGTCCCTGAGAAGGAGGCATTTGGCCTCAAGACTGCAATGCAGAAACCTTGCCCTCTTTCCAGCTTTCTGCCCTGCAGAATTTGGATTTGCCAGCCCCCATAACCCTGAGCCAGATCCCTAAAATAAAGCTCCCTTCTCTCTCCATGGGACACCTGTTCTTTCTGTTTCTGTAGCGAACCCTGTCTAATAAAGCAGGAATCACAGGGTCAGGGGTCGCCCTCGAGTTAGCTGTGGCCCAGGGAAGCTGTCCGCGCTCAGGTTCCAGTGGAAGCTGCAAAAACCTCAGTCCCCTGGCCGGTGGCCCCAGCGTCCTACCCACCCCCACACTGGCCACCTCCATCCCCGGTCACCTGCTGTCTTCCCTGTAGCCTCCTTATTTAGGGGCACTTCATCCTCTGACCTGTTCCAGCCCCAACTCTGTCCCTGGACCAGTTCCCCGCCTCCATGCCAGCCCCCGGATCTCAGGCACAAAACTCATGAGGAATCAGAGCAGGTCAGAAGCAAGCAGTACAATATAAAATTTATTATAAAACTTCAGCAAATATAAATATCCAGGTGCCCATTCGGAATGGAGCCACGTGGCAGGAAGGACAATGCAGAGCAGTACCAACACTGCGCGGGGTGTCGGGGGCCTGTGTGCAGCTTCATGCGGAAATGCTGGCCTTCTTTCTGAATGGGTCTTACAAAACAACCAAAATTCACGGAAAAAAAGTTCAAAAACAGCACAACACACGCAAAGGAAGCATGGGGTTCTGAAGGTCCCCACGTCCGCGGACAGGACAGCCAGCGGCTCATCAGGACGGCAGGGTTGTGGCGTAGCTGGTCGCTCTCTGATTCTGGTGTAACCTGTGATTCTGTCATTTCAGGGAGAAGCATTAAGGAACAGGTTGGAGTAGAAACGCTCGTTTGTCCGTAACAGAGAAGGATAACACGTAGGCTATAAAAGTTCTCTCCCCCAGCGTGTGAGTCTGAAAGGGACCAAAGCACCATAGCAGGACCTCATGTTTCCTGTTTCCAGAGGCAAAGTCTCCAATCGGGACACGGAGTCCTTAGTCCAGTGTCCCCCCTGGCAGGGCAGGCGCCCCTTCGAGGGGCCCCCCGGCTCTTGTCCCAGCAGAGAGAAGTGGGGCTCCCGGGGTGGGAGGAGGGGGCCATGGGGACACCTGCCGGGAGCTGTCCCACCCAGCTCCTTCTCCAGAGGGAGGCTGGTTAGTCCAGACCTGGGGCAGGGCCTCGAGGTGGGAGGGAGGCTGGTGTACGTAGCCGCAGATCTTTTGTACATGTTCCTAATGTCATGGCATTTCCTTCCTTCTCCAAAGCACCACATATTTAGCATTTAGCAAGTTCGGCTCCTTCTGTCTTTTGACTTGATTCAGCTGTAGTACAAGTGATGAGCATGACTCGGGGTCTGCAGAGTGGGCCCTCCCGCCTGCCTCCATGCTTCACCTGAAATGTGTGTGCATGCGTGCCCAGGCATGCCTTCAGACCCACGATTTGCACGCATGCACACACTCACACAGACACACGCACACACTCTCTCTGTCCCATCAGAGAGCCAGACACAGCTCTTCTTCTCCCAGCTTGCATCCTCCCGGCCGCGTTCCGATGCACAGCGCACAGCTGATGTGGGCTGAAGGCACAGCACCTCTACTCTCCGCCCTGGGCAGGGCCACCCGGGCCTCACAGGTTGGAGGTGGAGCACGTCTTGCAGCACCGATCCCCATAGAACTGGTGACTGCACATCCCGTGCTGGGGCACCAGAGAGCACCAGGGGAAGTGGTCTCTGCAGAAGCCATCTGAAAAGCACAGACGCTGTGTTAGCCGGGGCCCTGGGCAGCGGGGGCATGGCTCCGAGGCTGCGGAGGGCGGCCCTTCAGGGGAGAGGCAGCCCTGTGCGAGGGGCTGTTTCCACAAAGCCCTCCTTGGAACGTCCCTCAGGACGTTCTGTCCTCCCTTCTGTGCGGCACCTGCACACTTAGTGACGCCGGGAACGACGGTCCAGCCTCCTGCCACCGAACTTCAGTTGCACGTTCTCTGAAAGAGACAGAGACCCCGACGCCAGGGCTCTCTAACCGCGGGCACCCCACTTCCTCGGGCCCACTAAGGAACTGCTCCAGTCACATGACAGCCCACCCCGGGATGCCAAGGCCAAGCCGAGGGGCTCCAGATACTCACCTTTCTTCTCTGCGATGGGGCAGAAGTGGGTGTTGCAGGCCAGGGAGGCGGTGGGCTTCTGGTGAACGAAGCAGCCCAAGGCCGGCCGGCCCCCCGCCAGGCACTGCACGGCCCTGGTCTGCACGCCGCCCCCACAGCTGGCCGTGCACTGGGAGAAACACATGCACAGCGGTCATCCGGGGCCCCCGGGGCCCGGGGCACCCTCTCCTCCCCTCCACCCAGACTCCTCAGTGATTGTGGGGAAGAGGACCAGATTCCGGATTAATCCCAGGTGTGGACAGAGGGGGCAAGTACTGGAGGTCTAACATGCTTTTGAGTGGTCCGTGTCTGCTGAACACAAGGAAACTGGAGCATATCTGGGGGTACCAGGATCGTTCCCCGGGTCTACTGGGCTCTGGGGCTAGAACCAGAAACAATGCCCTTCGTGGAAGGCCATCACTCAGGCACCTTTTCTGGGACTCTTGCCAGGGAAAACCTTGACAAGCCAACTTCCACAGAGGCACGATGAAACGAAGTCCCTTCTAGACCCCAAGTTCCCGGAGTCTGGATGCCTGCATGGAGGTGGCCACACCAGGAGCCTGGGCTCGCTGGCATCCTCCCATTGGGCATGGCTCTGGAACACATAGGCCCTGGTATTCTAAGGCAATCTAGCACACTGGAACCAGGGCACGGATGAGCCGCACGGCTAGGTCATCCTCCCCCAGCTGCCAGGCGCACAGCCTACAGACTATGTGCGCGGGTCCATCTGAGCTGGATGGTGGGCAAGACATCAGAGAGACGGAGGAGCCCCAACCAGCAAGCAGTGAATCTGTCCAGAGAGCTACTTGAAGTCTTCACTGAATTACGTAAATTGTGTTCCAAAAAGGCTCCTCGTTCAAAAATGTCAAGAATGTAGGCAATTAAGGAGCACCTGCAAGAAGAGGGGGTCAGATAACATTGCAGTCGTCTGGAGCGTGCTGGGGACGCTAAATCCTGTAAAATGCAAGGATAGATCTGTGCAGAACCGGTATGTCCACGGCACAGGCTGGTTGCCAAAATGTACAAGACGGCACGCCAGACCCCCCTTCGAGCAAGTGCACTTAGCCCGCCCTGGGCTGGCTTTCCACAGCTGAGGTCAGCCTGCAAGGGAAAAGCCCGCTGCTCTCCTGCTTCTTTCCCAGGACCCGCTGTGAGCAGGGTCCCCGGAGGTGAAGACGCAGGGCTCCCGCTGATATGCACGTGGGTCTGGAACGTTTCCGTGAGGCCCAGCCCTTTCTCTTCAAGCCCGACTTCGGTGAAAGTCGTCAATAACTCAGGTTCAATAAATGACTGCAGCAATCAGAAAAAGAAGAACGGTGTGGGCAGATCCGCGTCTGGCGTCGGAATTAGCAGCCTCATCCATGATGGAGCCCCATGTTGCCCCCTGCCTACTGCACCTCTCCGAGCAGGCCGCCGCAGCATGTTTCCAGCTTTGCACTTGGCCCTCCGAGCCCCTCCCAGCTATGGCCCCACCGAGAGCTTGAGGAACTGGCCCAGGGCTCACGGCTTCGCCCGCATCACATCTGCATCTGTTCGCGTCCACGACCTCTCTGCCATCGGCAGAGCTCCTGGCATTGGCCTCAGCCGGGGCCGAAGTCCAGTCTTGCTAACGACGTGTCTCAGTTGAACACAAGAGATCTAGCCATCATTTTGCACCACTTAAAATCATGAAGAAGTGATTTGACTCTTTTTGTCACAGACTCATTTATTCACAACCTGAATCACTCCCTCCCACGTACCAGGGGCCGATCTAGGCACTGGATGCCGAGTGCTGGACGCAAGGGAGTCGCCCGTCCCCAGGATTTCCTGTCCCTACTCGAACTGCGATCCTTCACGCTTTGTGAAGAGAGACTCTGGGATTGGATCTGGAAGTCAAAGCCGATGGCATCTTCTTTAACTTGATGGGGTTTAATGTGAGCATTTTGGGTAATTCTTCCTGTGCATGGCAGGATGCAGGGGGGCAATGTGCTGCAGAGACGGGGGACTGCCCTTGTCCCTCGACCTACACGCGGGGACGAGTGCCAGGGCCATCCATCCAGGCCCCATGGCTGATAGCTCCAGCCCAGGTCAGCGGCTCTCGAAGCCGACGTGCAGGCCAGCCACCTGCTGGGCCCATCCCAAACCTGTAGCTTCGGCAGCCGGGGTGGGACCTGAGATCCTGCATTTCTCCGCACAGCGCTTCAGCTGGAGGCCGGGCCAGGCTCGCAGAGCCACCCTCTAGCTGACCAGAGCTGCGTCGGCAATTACTTTTTCCTCTCGTCTTTTAGTTTTCAGAGCCAAGTCCGGCCACATCTAAGTCCGAGTAGAGTGTGCACAGGGCCAGTGTGCGATCAGGGGAGCCGGCCCTCTCATAAAGGGGCCGAGACTTCCTGTGTCACTGTCACCTGGCAGCCTCGTGGACTGCCTCCCACCCCCACCCCCAACCTGCTTACTTCTGCCCGGGTGTCCCTGCTGCAGACAAGGGAGGACCCGGTGCCCCTCCTCGAGGGGAGCCTCTTCTTGCCTTCAGCCCTGGTAGGGCCACCACCGGAGCTCGGCAACATTCGCAAACGTTTTTCTTTACGGTCTGTGTCTCCTGCTGAGGCCCACACTCGCCGGGGGCAAAGGATGGCCTGCCGGTGGGCAATTCTGGGTCTTTCTGCTGAGGGGGCAGTGAGGCAGTTCCAGCCCCCCGTGCGGGGGCGCAGGAGGTGAAGGAGGAGCATCACCCTCTGAAGAACATCCCCGGGCTGCTCCCTCCACGAACACCAGCCTCTTCCAGGTCCTTGGGCCCCTGCTTTGCCTCTCATCCTTCAACTCCACATGCCTGCCTCCCTCATCCAAGGCCTGAGGCCAGGCACAGCTAAGGCAGGGCCCTTTCCAAGACTGCCCGACTAGGGGGGATCAGCTGTGGTCCAGGGGGAGCGTCCCCCCCACCCCGAGGTCAGCAAACTGGGTCTTCTTGCCATCCCAGGATTCAACAACCTTGTCGAATGTGACGGCACCTCCTGGGAGCCCTCCGTGCTGACGCCCTCGGAGTCGACCCCTGTGGGTGTGCCAGTCTCAGACTCCCCGGGGGTCTGAGCGGCGACCTGCTAAGCGCACATTTTCCAGAACACTGAAATCCTGAAAACGCTCTCCCTTCTGGACTTCGTCTGTCTCAGGAACAATCCCCGTGCTTTGTTGGACATCCCGCACCAAAGGCGCTGCATTTGCTCTGAAGAGGTGACTGGGGAAAACTGATCATCACTCTTAGTCATTATCAGAAATCCAAAGAGATACATTTTCAAAATAATGTCTGCCTCTGGGTTTCTTTTAAATTACAGGGATGACTGTGTGTCTCTGGCCCGACGGCAAAAGGCTGGGGATGCCTGCTGCTCTGAGCTCCTGGCTGATGGTTGGCTGGCTCTATTCAAAGGCTCTATTCATGCCCCCCCCCCTTCACGGGACCCACGAGTGCCAAGGGGTTCTTGCAGGGCAGGCTCAGCTCCCGAACTCAGGAACAGCTAGTAAACAAATCCACTTTTATTCCTGAGAGTCTGAGGTCTCATACCTTCCTTGTCCCACTGTGATGACATCTCTCCCCTCCGGGGAGACCCATGAACGCTTCTCCCTTTTTGTCTCCTTCCTGGGGCCTGGGGGGCGGGGTGCTCTCTCTCCAAGTCTGCAGCTGCTCCCCACCGGGGCGCTCCCCACTGTCCCCGAGACCAAGGTCTCAGGTCAGGATGAGAGACTACAGCCCTCGAGGGCCTCATCATTACAACCTCTGCTCTAAATAAACATAATCGCAGCTGTGAGTTTTTGTACAAATTTAATGGCTTACAAATAGAAACGCCCTCGACTCGGGTGGCATGTGCTGTGGCCCTTATCCAGCAGTGTCAGCAAGAAGGGTCTTGTCTCCCTGTGTCCACCCGTAACTGCAAGACGAAGATAGCAGATCAGCAGCAAATTCTTAGAGGTGGACAGGCAACTGGACAGCAGGGTGCAAGAAGCCTGTGTGTTCTGTGTGCTGGTGTGTGCATGCCCGTGTGTGTGTGTGCGTGAGTGTGCGCCTGCGTGGGTGCATGCCCGTGTGCACGGATGCCCATTGCTTGTGTACATGCGTGTGCCCGTGGGCATGTGTGTGAGTTTGACACAACTTTAATCCGACTCTTGTCATAGCTGCCATATTGATCATCAGCGACATGGCTCCTTGGTCCTCAGAGCCTCTGGGTTTCCAGGTCAGGGGTGCACGGTCCCGGTCAAGAACCCCTGGAACAATCCGGAGCCCCCACACTCCCGCACCGAGCACACACTCCCATCTCTGTCACGTAGAATCAGACAGTCCAACAGGTGTCACCAAGTAAGCCATTCCCAGACCAAATTAGCATGTGAACCACCTGACGCTAAGCCCAAATGACCCAAATGATTTAAGTCAGACCTACCAGGCAACCCGCCATGAAATGTGATAAGCAAAGCCATTTAAATCAATAGAAACCCTAAAGATCACATAACAGCAACCATGATCTTTCGACTGTGACAAGAATAAACCTGTCTGGGGCAGAGTTCAGCCAGGCCCAGGCCATGCTTTACGGCCCCACAATTTCCCACCGTTCAGGGATCCAGAGTCTTGAGTACCAGTGCTTACAGCAAACAGAACCCTTTGAGTTATGACTCCCCAAATGGTATAGTCTCAGAACGTAATAGATGAGTCACGCTGGATAAGAACTTCAGGCAGCTTATGATAAAAATGATTTCTTAGACAAACACATTGAATATTTCAGACTGGAGAAAGCTATGCAAGATGTATTTTCGGTTTTGGGTTAAACGAAATGATGATAAACCTCTGTTTTTCTAAATTTTCCCAAAGTCTCCAAATGAAGCACAGTGGGCTGAACGCTGGCTCAGCCGGAGTCTGGGGAGCTGCCTCAGCTTCGGGAGTCTCAGTGTCCCGTTGACAGAGGGACAAATGTCTCGGGAACCACCTCTATGTGCCTCTGACCCACACTTCCCGAGGGACAGAGAAAGTACGACCTCTGTCCCAGAGAAAACTTGACCCCGCCTCTTCGCTCACCCCTTGCTTCATCTCATGGCAAAGACTATGAGCTCACAAGAAAACAAAAGGGGTTTCCCACTTGGGAAAATGTTGTACTTATTGAGACGTTTTGTCTACTTAAATCAGAAAATGCTTGAGAAGGATATAGTTCACATGCCCCCTGCTCCAGTTATTTAAGCTGAACAATTTCTCATTTAAATACTTTCGGGAGACGGGCTCATATATTTCTAAATGCAAGTGCTACGTCAGGTTTGAAGATCCACAGAACCAGAAGCTGCGGTGGGCACCCAGAGGCTGGCCGCCACCAAACACCCCTCGTACTCCTTCCCTCTGTCTCCTCTACCTTCATCTTTCACAAAGAGGAGAGTCAGAGAGGGGCTGCCACGTGCAAATGAGACAGAGGTCTTTCCCATGGTTCTGCTCCTCTGGCCCGGCCAACAGACTAGAGAGTCAGAAAATGCTCTCTGCTCCTATTCACGGGCCTCACTGAGGTGAGCACCCGTCTCTCCCACGCAGACCAGCAGAGACCAGACTCCTTGGGGTCTGGCCAGCAGGAAGGGCTCAGGATGCCTGAGCCCCACACAGCCCTCCGGCCTGGGTGTACCCCGAGAACGAGCAGAAAACGCAGTGGGAGCAAGAATAGTGAGGGGACCCAGGACGGGCAGGAATCAGGGAGCACGGCCAGAGGAGCAAAACCACGGGCAGGGGCAGGGAGGGGAGCCAGGCCCCAGGATGAGGACTGCCAGGAATCCAAAGCGGGAAACGGGGCAAGGTAAGAGGTGGTTAACGACATTAACAGAATTCTTCCTTAGAGTGGAAGGCAGTGTGGACGGAGGGAGGGGTGGGGGCACGGAAGAGCCCGGGCAGGCCTGGACAGTCCGGGGTTCTCCACCCTCTTCCCACGTGGGCAAGGCCTCAGGGTTACTGGAGTAGAACGTACAATCACCAACTTATTCCAGATCCTGTACCTCTTCCGCATTCACACGCATCTCTGGGGGCGTCTGCCCAGCTTTTACAGAAAATAAAACATGTTTTCCCACACTTGATTGGGCCGATGATGTAGAACACGGCACAAGGGCCCTGGAGACCAGCCTTGGAGAGCTGCACCCACACCCAGGAACACGGGCCCCACACCCACTCTGGAGAGAAGGGTCAGGACCTGGCTCAGTGGGTTTGGGGGTACACCCTCACAGAAAGTCCCCCACCGAAGCCCCAGCCAGCTCCCAGCTCTGCGGAGACTGAGTGTCACCCTACCTGAGACCAGGGCGAGGCAAACCAGCTGGCTCGAGGGGGGCCTGCAGCTGTGTGCAGGGGGGGCCTGGGGCAGGGAAGTGGGGCGCAGGCGCGTTCCAGTTCCACAGCGGGCCGCGGCAGGTGCAAGCACTTCTTGGAGGCCAGCTCTCGGTATTTCCCAGAAACGTGCTTTTCAGCACACCTCAAGAATCTCTTCTGTGTTCCTCTTTCGCACGTAACAGAGCACTAAAAATGAAAACACAAGATGTGAGTGAAAAATATTTCTTTGCTGGCGTCTGTGTCTTTTCTATCTTGCAAGAGTCAAATTGTCTTCTGCTTATATCTGCTTGAACATGAACAGAAGGGTAAAATTTCTATGAGATTTATTAGACCTTGGCATTTTTAAAAGGAATTGCAGTATCTATCTTTTAAAAAGGAGGATCGTAAGGCTCAGCGCTTTGGGGCATTAAGTAGGGGCAGGGCAAACATAAACCGTGAAGGGAGTAGTTCTGAAGCTATCATTTGGCTGAAATGCTCAAATGCTGGGTTGCAGCTGATATTAGAGAGTGCAGAAATCTAATACCCGAGGACGAGACCAAACCCCGGGGCCCCAGTGAGCCGCACCACCCAACTGTGGCGTGATGCTGGTCCCCAGATCACCAGCAGGCGGGGGCACCCAGGGCTCACAAACCCCCCTCAGGAAGCCAAGTGAGGGGAGCAAGCATGCTTGGGGCCCAAATCCATTCTTTCCCCCCCAGGGAGTGCTCAGAGCCCGGGGCCGGCAGCACCCACCCGGGGCCCAGAACACCCACCTGGGGCCGGCAGCACCCACCCAGGCCTGGAGCCTCCACCCGGGAGTGGCAGCACCCACCTGGGGCCCAGAGCACCCACCCGGGAGTGGCAGCACCCACCTGGGGCTCAGAGCACCCACCTGGGGCTGGCAGCACCCATCTGGGCCTGGAGCCTCCACCCGGGGCTGGCAGCACCCACCCGGGGCCCAGAGCACCCACCCAGGGCCTGGAAGCACCCACCTGGGGCTGCCAGACACCCACCCGGGGCCTGGAGGCCCCACCCGGGAGTGGCAGCACCCACCCGGGGCCCAAGAACCCACCCAGGACGGCAGACACTCACCCGGGGCTCAGGGCACCCACCCGGGGCCGGCAGCACCCACCTGGGTCCAGGCAGACACAAGCCACTGCAGCTTCTTGTGCTTGAGGCAGCGCTTGAGCAGACAGACTTCATGAGTCCTGGGCTTGGGCTCCGAGCCGCAGACGGCGTCCGGCAGAAGCTGCGCCCTGGCCGAAGGGTTGGTGCTCTTACAGGCCACGGACCTCTTCCTCCACCCCTTCCCGCAGGTCCGAGAGCACTGCCAGGGAAGAAAGAGGGCAGCCACCAGCAAGGAGTCCATCAGACCTAGCCTGGGGGGTCCAACCACAGGCCCTGCAAGGCTCGGTGAGAACTGAGCTCTGCGATCCACCGGTGGGGGCCCAGCGGCTGCCCCCCCACGTGTCCCTGCCCCACTTACCTCTGCCCAGGGCCCGGTGCTCCAGGCGGGCGGGCAGCTCTGAGAGGGGCAGGCCTGTCGGCTGGAGGGCATGGGCTGCGGACACAGGATGGCCGCCACTCGCTCCAACACGTAGTGGGCCCGTCGTGTGCACTGGACGGGCCGGCTCTGAATGCCCCCACCGCACGTTCGGCTGCAGGTGCTCCAGTTGCCCACCGACCAACTGGGAGGAGACAAAGACACCTTGGTGAGGGGCACCACCTCTCCCGGAGACATAGCGGCACGAATCCCACCCACAGCCCACAGGCACGTGGTTATTTCTAGTTGCTCTCCAAGCCTGCTGGGTCCTGGGGCTTCTACCTCCTTGATTAGCTGTCCTGGTGATCGTTCTCCCCTCCCCTGATTTTATTCACCTGCACTTGGAAGTGACCCCCTCAACACAGTGTTCTGTTCTGCCCTCTGGCTTTTTAGGTGGGAAATTTCACACATGTGCAAAAGGAAGGCCCCACGTGTCCCCAGCCACCTGACTTGAATGATCTTCAACTTAGGTCCCCAACCCCGTAGCATGCGGAAGCAAATTCCAGATGTGTACATGTTTCAGTGCACATCTCCAGAAGATGAGGATTGTTTGGTTTTTAAAACAACCACAATACCACCGTGACATCTAAAAAATAGGCCATGATCCCTTAATGTCATATTATGCATATTATTATATTATTATTCAAATCACATAGTTCATATTATATCAATTCATGTTATATTATTCAATATCGTATTATTCATGAATACCATGCTATTCAGTGTTACATCTCCAGCGGGGTCATAAATGTCCTAACTGAAGTTCATCTGCTTGTCGGGAACCCAGAATCCAGATACAGTCCGCTGTTTGCAATGGGTTGGCAGGTCTTTCTTCTCCTTTACTCTATGGGTTCTTAACCTATTTTTTTCTATTCCATTTACTGGTTTCAGAAACGATACTACCCACTGGACTGAGTCTCCACAGCTCTTTCTGATGATCATAGTTGGCAGATTGCATCTCTGTGGTTTCCCTTTGCATGTTCCTCTGTCTTCCACACATCCTCTAACTTGGCACCTGGCTCCAGAGGCTGGGTCACAGGTTCTATTTATTTATGTACGTGTTTCTTGTACGATGACCTCAGACGTGATAACTTCCGATAGGAGACCCATAACGTCTGGTCATCTTTCTTTGAATTCTTTAGAAGCTGTAGAGAATATTCTCTCTCAAAGCAACCTTTTTTTTTTCTTTTCTGAGTATAAAAGTATTTCTTGTTGACATGAATGTCGGCCGCTGACAGAGGTGGGATGGACCTGGGCAGGCTCAGCCAGTGGTACCACCGTTGGGGGTCAGATAAGCCCGCGACAGTCTACAAGCACCCGCTGGCTTTGCACAAACAAATCGCAGGAGGCCCTAAGGTGCACACTCTGGGGTGGGCGGTCATCGGAGGCAGGAGGGGCAGAGGTGAAATGTGGCCCAGGGACAAGTGTTCTTATGGCGAGAACGCCTTGGGCTCCCCCCAGGTGGCAGCCATTTGGCCTCCAAGAGGACGTGATGATTCTCACTCGTATTTGTCTTCCCATTCAGGGCGTTCAAGCAAAAACTGGAAATTCTACAGGTAACGTCAGGGCGCAAATGGGTGCATGCTGCTGGTTGTTGAAAATCTGCTGCAAAGGGCAAGGAGAAGCATGGTCTTTGTTACTCAGGTGGCGCGGCGTGCCTTTGGTGCAGCGAGGAGCTCAGAGGGCCAGCCATGCTTCTCCCGCGTGGCCCTAGCCTGTTGGCGTGGGTTGTGATGCAGGCACGTCCCGGGACAGCCAACCCCAGGGAGCACCCATGAGCCTCTGTCACTGGCTGAACCCGCAAGGGGCTTCTGTCTACTCAGCAGCCATCCCTGAGTACGAGTTAACCCAACAAGGATTTTCTCCTGAATCTTCAGGTAAAACAGGGGATTTGTGAAGGTCCCCTGCTTTGTCCTTTGGCTTTGTGACCCTCCCTCCCACACGCACGCTGTACCTCAATAGTCACACTCTGGTCAAGCAACAGCCAAGAACACCTGGTGGAGAGTTCACGAGACTCCTCTCAGAAACACCCCGTGCCAACGGGAGAGGGTCCGTGAGGACCGAAGCAGGGACCCGACTTATGCAGAGAGGGACACAGAGCGGAAGACGGAGACTGCCCAGAGGACCGCTGGGACTGGGCCTCACATTCGCTTCGGCTGGGCCTCTTTCTCTGAGCATGTGTGCACATTGTTTTTAAAGGGAGGTGAGGGCAGGCAATACATGCAACTTCTAAATTCAGCGTTTTACAATTTGGGCGTGGAGTCTACTTAAAATAAAAAACCCAACAAAACAAAACAAAACAAATCTGAGAAACTGTTAGAGCCAAGACGAGCCCAAGAAGACACAACCAGATATAATGTGGTGTCTTAGATAGGTTCCTGAAACAGAAAAAGGACATTATGTAAAAACTAAGAAAAACCAAATAACCTGTGAACTTTAGTTAATAACATATCAATACTGGTTTATTAATTCTAACAAATGTACCATGCTAATGTAAGATGCTAATAATGAGTAAATTGAGTGTGTGGGGGCGGGGCATGGGGACTATGTAATATGGGACTGCCGGCTCAGTTTTTCTAGAAACCTAAAACTTCTAAAAAATTAAGTCTCTTACTTATTTTATGAATTAATTATATTTCTGTATTCAAGTAACTAAGAGAAGGTAAAAAAAAAAAATCAAGGTCTAAAACAACCATTTTGCTTACACAGCAAAGCCTTTGTAAATGTATTTTCAGAGTCTCTATGGACCAAGGTGCGGTTGGGAATACCTGGGGACCAAGGTATGGGAATACGTAAAGAAGGGAATGAGGGCTCCAGGCCCCGGGAGGCTCATGGGCATCAGGACGCTGCACCAGTTCCGGGCGTGCCGTGCCTGCCGACAGGTCCGAGCAGAGTGACCAGTACTTCCCCTCACGTTCTCAAGGGGGCAGGGACCCAAACAGCTGTAGAGCCAAAACCTGGACTCTTGTGAAAGCTGTGACAAATGAGGTGGTGAGGGGGGGACAGGGGGCTGAGGGGGACGGAGGGGCCCTGTCCCCGTGCTGTGTCCCCGCCCTGGCGCACTTCTCCTATTTTATACCCCGTGTTTCTCCTGAACAGATTCTACTGTGCTTCTAAGAAAACTATGTAATTCCAAGTCTTAGCCACCTAAAAAGAAACCGCTGGCTTTGTAGGAATTGTTCTAGATCCGCTGTGGAAATGTTTTCATTCTTCGGTGTCGATGGGATCAGTGATTTCTGTTTCATGGGAAGCCACGGACGTGACGCATCCTTGGTATGCACGGTCCGTTTCCAGCCTCGAGGCTGTCATGGTTCTGCCTCTGGAGCCTCTGGGATGCTCTTCTGTTGTTTTCCCCCATTTCCTACCTCTGCTCTCCCAACCCCGCTGCCTTATAAATTCTAATTGGTGTGTCCACACTGGGGTTGCAAAGACGGCTTGGCTGCTCTCAGGCTTTTCACACCACCTTGTTAAGTCTTCTGTCTCCACCGTCTTAAGCTGTTCCAACTGGGTTGATCCATTCTCTGCCCTTCTCTTGGCTGCACGTCGTGAAGAAATCCTCCCGAGCAAAGATCATTCACACGGCATCTGGAAACGCCAACTGTCTGTTTTGTTTCACAGGCAGAGCTCTGGGGAAACGTCTTGATTTCAGCTCAGGGAAGAGTCAAAATCCCCTCGAGCTTCTGTGCTGGTGTCTGAGGGTTCTGGGAGCAGAAGCCCGGTGTGCCTGGTTGCTCACCGGTGGCCGTACTTGGCCCACTGGGTTCTGTTTTCACGCAGTCCACCAACCAGAACGAAGCACGTAGCTGGTATCACCGAGTCAGCTGGGCTTCCCGGGCAGGACCTGGAGGACCCGGCCGCCTGGCCCCCGGGGTCCGTCCCCGCCGAGGGCTCCCCCGCCCGGCCCAGCTCCAGGCTCCCCCTTAACTTTACCACTGTCTCTCCACAGTTCAGGCAGGCTTTCCTGGAGTCCTGGGTTCAATACTCAACATGCCCAGCTGTCACCAATCATCAGCGGCTTCTCAGTAACATGACTTTGTCTTCTCCATTAGAAAAATAATTGTGACATTTTGGTTTTGATTATTTAAGGTTTCCTCTGAAAATGCAAATTCCCAGCGAAGGTATTTCAAGCAGCCCCTGGGCATCCCTGGGCTCACGGCTGCCCTTCTGACACCCAGGCCCCCGCGGCAGGGACGGGGCCTGCGGCCTAATTGAGGCTGAGCCCCACCCGGGGCCACCCAGGGCCTCTTGTGGATTTAGCATCAGGAAGTCTCGCAAAAAGCGCGTAACTGCTGGCTTCAGTTTAGAATTTGGTTCTTGTTTCTTTTTTCTGTTATTCTTTTTGAAATTTCAAGACTGAGCACTCTGCTGTTCCATTTTCAGGGAGAGCCCTTGACCTTCGCAAAGGTACACACACGGAATCGTGGCCGCAGCACCTGCGGGATGGCCGTGGGCAACACGAGGCCCCCGCAGCTGGAGTTAGTCGCAGGCGTGAGCGTGGGGCACGGGGAAGCCCGGCATGGAAATTCAGCTGCAACCACAGGGCGGCCGCCCGCGCAGGCCGACCTGGGCTCGCGGTGGGGCACCTGCCACGGTCCAGTGGGCTGCTCTGACCTTCCTGTACCATCTGCCACGACCTCTGCGGCTGTGAGCGTGGGCACCCCCAGGCTCAGCCCTCAGGGCTCAGGCTCCGGGGGGAAGGCAGCTTCTGCTGTGGTCCGACTGGGCGGGGACTGTGTGAGTTGAGGGCAGAGATGGGCGTGTCTTCACATGCAGGGAATTTGAGGTCTACACCACTTTTCTCCTAAATAACCTGTTTTAAAGATAACAATGCGCATCCAACAATACACAGATGCTGGCTTGAAAAAAAGCTGCCTTTTTCATAGGAAAAACGTCAGTCACAAGTTAAGGAGCAGGGGCAGGCCGGACACTGAAGGCACAGTGGTGGGGAACCGGGAGGACGCCGTGGGCCCCGAGTGCGCCTGCCCCGTCTGCTCTTGGGTCTGGCTCTGCAGGAGCCAAGGATCTTGGTGCCTAAATGTGTAAGCGAACATCGCAGATATAGCAGAGTCCCTGGACAAACAGCTTGCGCTCTGCTCACACCCCAGCTTCTGGAGCAATCATGCGCTTGTCCCCAAACGCACTAGA